AAAATAATAGCAAATATTACCTAATAAATATTGGAGAAATACATTTTTTTTATTTTTCTCCAAAATTCCTGATCTAACCAGCATTTATACTATCTAGATGTGTCCCTCTAAAGACCATTAAGTGAAGTCTTCTTCTTTATTGTGTCCTTCATGAACTGTTACATTTAAATGTCTGTTAATTGGAAAATATATGTCAAAGATACATTAACAATGGTCTGAGTACCACTATTTTCTTTTATTTTTCCTTTTCTTTCTTTCCTGTTTTTATTTTTTTGGTTTTATGAGACAAGGTTTCTCTATATTGTTTGGGAGGCTGCCCTGGAACTCGCTCTGTATACCAAGCTGGCCTCGAACTCCCAGAGATCTGCCTGCCTCTGCCTCCTGAGTGCTGGGATTAAAGGCATGTGTCACCAATGACATTATTTTCTTTAACAGAACTCTTGACTAAGTTACTTGGATTAATAGCCATTAGGAGGCATTTGCCCTAGAATGTTTTGACCTTAGCCCATGGGAGGCATCTGTTTCAGTCGACTGTGAGCATCAAGTATTCTCTGTGATGACTGACCTTATTAATCTGTTCGGCATTCATTAGTCAGTTTTGTATCCGTTTTCTGAAGTTGTCAGTCGCAATCTATGAAATGTTAATTCTGTGAGAATGGCCTACACATTCTGTCTCAACATTTTAACTCTGTGTTGACAATATTCCCGTCAGCAAGTAAGTTCGAGCTTGGAGGACGCACATGCTAAAAGAGCAGACTGGAACTCAACACCGAGTGTCCCCTGCCTTGGCAAATGGCTACCTAAAGGATTCTTATAATTTGCTGTAGTGTTCAACTAATGACACATAGGCAGCTTGGGGAAGCAGTGGGAATACAGATGCTGTAGTCTGATTGCCACATCCAGCTTCTACTCTGCATTTAAGAATACCACACAAAAATGGGACAGAAAGCCATGTCATAATGAGACTTCCATGGCCTTAACATAGCACTCCACATTAGTGCCCGTGCATCTAGAATAAGGTGTTTAAACATTCTAAGGGTGAATTTCTGTGTCGGCAAAGTTAAAAATAATAGCCACGACCTCATGAAGTGTTTTACATGTAAGGATGCAAGTGGAAGGTGTGATGTATTATGGGCGCTGACTCTCAGAAGCATCTGTTATTGTGTGTGAAGTATGCACCTTGAACAGATAGAGCATTTGTTTGATGCACAGTACTGCTTCACACACTAAAGTGCTACTATTATTTAGGTATTTCACATGTATTTTTATTTACTTACATATGTGAATATTTTTTCAAATCAGAACTGTATCTTCTAGGTGTTGCAGCTTGGGCTTCATGGAAGCTGCCTCTCATAAAGTCAATAGATAATAGGGAGTCTTTTAGACAGCATGTTATGAAAACGTGGTCTGCAGTTGGAGATGCAGGACATGGGGTGATGCCACAGTATGTCTTCTACCCAGTGTTGGAGTTCTGCAGCTGGGGCCTTTCTGAGTGTCTTTCGTGGTGACGACTGGTCTCTGAACTCACATGAACCTGGGATTTATGCATATGTAGGTCCTCCAAGAAGAAGGGCCTGCCTTTGAACACAGCAGCTGGCTCCAGCCAAGAGCAGTGTCCCAAGATGACTTAGAGTTTAGTATTATCACGTAGCAGCTGTGAGTACAAATGTTCCTGACCTCAAGAGGTCTGACCAGCAGCTGAGAGCACCCATCCTACTTATTGCCTTCCCATTGGCTGTGTGTTCTGGAGACACTTCCGAAACATTATTCAGTGTTGATTTTAGTGGCCCATGATGAGCTGTTTCCCTGAATCCATGGAAGGCACATTTTTAGATACTCACTGTATGTGTGGAATTTGTGAAAATTGGAAGCAGTGGTTTTGCTTTAAAAAAAATAGACCAGTGCCCATGAAGCCCTACATATTAACAGGTAATCTAGTGTCAAAATAAAGTGAACTTCATAAAGTAAATAAAACCATGCCGAGGGCTCAGCTTATCCTGTTCTTGTCTGTTTATATTTCTCAGGACTTTTGTTCCAGAAATATTAGGGGGTTTAAAGTGAGGAGCAGAATGGATATATTAGCAAGATAGTTTGGAAACATGCAAGGAGTTTTCATAGAATAAAAATAAAATACTAAAAAATAAAATGTGTAAATAAAAGAAAAGGGAAGTTAGGGGTCAGAAACTAGTTTAGGGAAAAAAATGATCATGAACTGTATAAAACAACAGTTCCAAGGCATTATTTCAGAGATAGATCACCTACACTGTGTGCAGAAAAGAACAAAGTTCTCACCTGAATTAGAATCACAAGAAGAACTTTAGCACCAGTTAAGAAGTTGTGGTATGAATGGGCATCTTTTGGATATATGCCTAAGAGTGGAGTTGCTGGGTCTTGTGGTAGGTTTATTCCCATTTTTCTGAGGAATCTCCATACTGATTTCCAAAGTGGCTGAACCAGTTGGCACTCCCACCAGCAATGGAGGAGTGTTCCCCTTTCACCACATCCTCTCCAGCATAAATTGTCATTGGTGTTTTTGATTTTAGCCATTCTGACAGGAGTGAGATGGTATCTCAGAGTTGTTTTGATTTGCATTTCCCTGATGGCTAAGGATGTTGAGCACTTTCTCAAGTGCCTCTCAGCCATTTTAGACTCCTCTATTGAAAACTCTCTATTTAGTTCTGCAGCCCACTTTTTAATTGGGTCCTTTGCTGTTTTGGAGACTTGCTTCTTGAGTTCTTTGTAAATTTTGGAGATCAACCCTCTGTCAGATGTGGGATTAGTGAATATTTCTTCCCATTCTGTGGGCTGCCTTTTTGTCTTGCTGACTGTGTCCTTTGCCTTACAGAAGCTTCTCAGTTTCAGTAGGTCCCATTTATTAATTATTGATCTCACTGTCTGTGCTACTGGTGTTATGTTCAGGAAGCTGTCTCCTGTACCAATTCGTTCAAGGGTACCACCCACTTTCTCTTCTAAGAGGTTCAGTGTGGCTGGATTTATGTTGAGGTCTTTGATCCATTTGGACTTAAGTTTTGTGCATGGCGATAAACATGGATCGATCCGCATTCTTCTACATGCCAGTCTCCAATTATGCCAGCACCATTTGTTGAAGATGCTTTCTTTATTCCATTGTATATTTTTAGCTTCTTTGTCAAAGATCAGATGTTCGTACGTGTGTGGGTTAATACCCGGATTTTAATTCGATTCCATTGGTCTACCTGTCTATTTTTGTGCCAATACCAAGCTGTTTTCAGGACTATAGCTCTATAATAGAGCTTGAGGTCAGGGATGGTGATGCCTCCGGACGTTGCCTTGTTGAACAGGGTTGTTTTGGCTATCCTGGGTCTTCATATATGGATTTTAGACATACATCTGGGGAGTGCCAGCCTACAATCCTATGGCCAGAGAGTCTGGGAAACAGAAACTTCATTTAGTGGCTGATCGAAGAAGAGGCAGACTCCCTTGGTTAAGTACTGAGCTGAACTCAAGAAAGCCAGTAACAGAGAGGGAGGACTGGTGATCAAAGGGATTAAGACTGGGCTGGTTTAACCCCCAGAAACAGCTGACCAGACAAAGGTTAACTCTTGAATCCGAGGCATCAGCCTGGGAATCCAGCGTGGGACTGATCAATACCCCCTGAATTTGGGTGTCAGTGAGGAGGCCTAGGTAATCTATTGAGCCTTGGGCAGCAGATCAGTACCCATCCCAAGTATACACACGGACTTTGTACTCCCATAGAACAATGTGAGGTGCACTCTCACCCTGAACTCTTGGGGAAGGGTCTAGGCCCTGCCCTATATGAAATGACAGACTATGGACACCCCCATGGAGGGCCTCACCCTCCCTGGGGGAATGAGGGGATAACGGGGGGGGGGTTGGGGGGAGGGCACGGGAGGAAGGGAGGGAATGGGAGAGGGACCTGGAACTGACTTGTGAAGCAACCTCGTTTCTTATCTAAATTTAAACTGGAAAAAAAAAAGTTGTGGTAAACACTAAGACAGCCCAAAACCAGTTGTGGATTTGTTTGCCATGTTTGAACATCATTCAGAGGAAGGAACCCTAAGAAGACAGCTGATGAAGTCACCATATCTCGGGAAAGAGGTGAAAGCCAAGCAGCTAGCTATCCTTCAGGACTCCAGACGACATCTGACCTCTGCAAGATGGTTGCTACTGTGATTTAACTGTCATTGCACTTTTCAAACTTAGGTTCTTCATGGGCAAGCGTGACTACTTAATTGAGCAGTAAGTCGTCAGTGAGTGAGGCCAGGGGGAGCCTGTGTGGAAGGCAGAGGAGTGCCTCAGGGTTTCTCTTAACTATAATTCCTTGTATCAGATTAACTACTGTGGATAAACCAGAACAGGAATAAAAGTCAAAGTGTGTATGTGTGTGTGTCTGTGTGTCGGTATGTGCCTGTGTAAGCAAGCATGTGCACATGTGTGTATGTGTGTCTCTGTGTGTGTCTGTGTGCGCATGTGTATGTATATGTGTCTATATATGTGTATGTATGTGTATATGTTTGTGAGTAGGCATGTGTGCATGTGTACACGTGTGTACGTGTGAGTGTGCATGTTCGTCTGCTGTAAGCAGCAGAAGAGAGGGATGAATGTTTACAGACTCCCATTTGGGGTGTGATTTAACCACATTTGTTCATAATGTCTGTAAAATTACAGGGTACATGGGGTTCCCCCTGATATACCAGGCACAAGATGGAGGTAAAGCTGATTTCTACAACACAGACACACCGGCATGTGCTTATGCACATGTAACTGCATATGTGCTCAGCTAGCCCTCCATTACCCCCCATATTCCCTCCCAGTCCCGACAATCTCATTCCTTCTCAGCTCGCTCCCCTTCTACTTTCAGGATGATCTTGTTTGTTTGTTTAGCCTGTTGACTTCAGTGTGGGCTGATCATATGCAAGTGTGGACTAGGGGTTATTTCCAGGAGTGGCTCATCATTGACTCTACCACTGAAGAAAATGTCTCCCGCTCCGCTCCAACAGATTCTTGGGGAGCTGCTGTCTGTTGTTAAGACCCTCCTCTTAGCAATGCTGACTGTCTGTACATCCTCACATAGCAGTGGACTCCTCATCAAATAACATTGGACATCCATGTTCAGGTAAAAGAAAGCTTACTTCCCTTATTCATTTTGTTGTTTATGCGTGTATAGACTTCATTATCCTCTGGCTTGAATGCTGGGCAAGCATCAGTGCCATCTTAGTCAAAATAAACACAACTTACTTTAGAGGAAGAAGGCCTAAGGAGTGGGTAGCTAGCTACTTTAACAATTAATTGCAATTCTGATTTAGCATAAAAACGTGTTGTATATTAACTCGTTGATTTTCATTCTATAAGACACTTAGACTGTGCACAGTTCTAGTCCTCAGTCCGTTTACTCAAGGCTGTGTTCTCCTGATCTACAGAAACAAATATATGCAGATTATTTTCTTTAATCAGTGAGTTAGTTATACATTAATTATAACACTGAAACAATATTGCAGATCCTATTCTCACCATTCTGACTCAAAAAATGTGCATGCTTCCTCTATATTACAGCAGTCTTCTGGTTTAATATTTGGAACTGATTTATAAAATAGCATAGACAGGCTAAGTGTTCAGTCTGTAATTTTCCTAAATCTGATAGGATGGGATAATAAGCAGTTGAAATATTCTAGAGCTACCTTTCAAGCTCCAGTGACCACAAGCCTAGTCTCTCTCCTAATATGCCAGATGTATTGCTTTCCATTGGCAATTTTCATTTCCAGTCTTGTAACCCTGCTATTTGTGTTTATTGTTATAATTCTTTTTTGTGTGTGATATGATGATGATAAGAAAACTGGTCCAAGCACTCCTGCTGCTTCTGCCTGCAGTCAGCGTGTAGTGCAGCTCCCTTGTCTTGGGTCTCTGTCTTGCCAATCTTTTCCTGGATACCTGATTTCTGAGCAGATGCTCTTTTTAATTTCATCCCATGTTAATTTTAAATATTTATTCATTGAATGTTTCCAGTCTCCTGCAAACCGGGAGCTGATATTTTTTTTTGTTCCACATCCATAGTGCTCATTAAATTGTTGCCTCACGGCTGTTTCCTTCTAAGAGGGTTAGCTCAAAGAAAGCGACCAGAGTGGGAGCACTGAACCCAACACCTTCTGAATGCATGGTGACTTTTGACTGAAGGAATGAGCTATAATAGAACATGACTGCACAGCTGCCGTGCTCCTGGCTATAAATGAAAGAAAAGAATAGGATGGATTGGCACTTTTCTCACTGGTTTCTCAGAGAGCACCATAGAATTATCATTTCGAGGGCAAGATGATTGTTTGCCTACTTGGCCTCTCTATAAACCTGCTGACCCCATAGAACAGTTAAAGATCCAAAGGCCAGCTGTTCCTGTTCTCTGGTTGAGTGTGGCTGTTCCTCCACACCCATTCTGGGACCAAAGATTCTTTCCTTCTCTCTCTTTCTTGTGGTTTGCTGGTCTTCTGACTCCATGGAAATAATTCTCTTCCATTCCACCTGCCTCCCTCCCTGCACAGAGCTTCCTTAGTCTCATAGCCAATCTTTCCTTCCTTGATGTCACTGGGACTCCTTTGCTTGCCTTGACTGCCCTCAGAAAACTCGCAGCTCAAGCTGGGAACCTGGGGACGTGGCCACAGCTCAACATCTTAATACGTATGTTGCCACCGAATGTTTTGCTTAAAGGCATTAGCCTATATCCCGATGAAATGCACCCTCGTGTGAGTGACCTAATAACTGACTGAATTCTTTAGGAAACCACAAAACCCAAGCCCAGGTGTCACAGGATGGATGTGGAGAGTTGGCCAACACAGAGCTGCCTTTCCAGGCAGATATCATTTGTCACCTTACGTTCTATGAAATATCCAACGTCAAGATCATACGTGACTCCTTCCATGCGGGCATTGTGCACAGAGCACAAGTGCCTAGGGCCGTCTGTCCTCCCCTCTCTCAGACTCTGAGGACTTTGTATCTCACATGCTTCACAGACCTTCGCAAAGCTCTTCAATATAAATGAAAGCTTTTCACAGCATTTGTACAGGAGGCTTTCTACTGAAATTGTCTTCTCATGTTTTCCATAAGTTTTGCGTGGCCCATTCCGGCTTCAAACTTGTAGGGATCCTCCTGCCTCAGCTTCCTGAGTTTTAGGATTAGGCCTGTGCTATCTAGCTTAAATGTATTTACCAATACTATATATATATATATATATATATATATATATATATTAGTTTTTAACAAATGTTCTCTTTTACTGACTGACATGCGTGAATACATGTACTTATGAGATGCAAAATGACAATTTGATTCATAACTAAATCAAGTAATAATTAAATTAGGATAATTAGTACATCTATCACCTTAAAATTTTGTCAATTCTCTTATAGTAAAATGTTCAATATGGGTGGGGATGGAGGGACACAATATTTTAAAAGGATTTTACAGAGTCGAGCTACAGAGGACCATCTCATTTTACTGTCCAGTTGTCCCTTTCCATTTCTCAAGCCCCTTCCTATTTCTCCCTCACCTTCCCCCTTATCAGTATCACAGTGCTGTAGTTCCTCCTGAGGTCTGCTTGTGTAGAATGGTCATGAATGGCATTGTGTGTTGCTAAAAAAAAAAAAGGCATTCCTAGTAGGACAGTGTTCCATCATGCTTTCTGCCACAACATCTGCTCATCTGCTGGTGGGCTTTCAGGGATGTCATATTGATTTGTCAACAGTCCTGTAATGACCACAGGGGACAGAGGTTTAACTGCCTTTAGTACACATTAGGAATAAGATTTGAAGTTCTATTTTTAGTTTTTTGAGGAACTTTTACAGTCTTCCACAATGAGTACTCTAATAGCGATGTCCCTCATCATCTGTGTATAAGAGTTTCCTTTCTCTACAATTTTAAATATTAGGAAAGTGTGTGTTTATTCAAGTGTGTATCTGTTCAAGCGTGTGTGTTTTCACTCAAGTATGGGTGTTTGCTCAAGTGTGCATTTTTGCTCAACTGTGTGTGTGTGTGTGTGTGTGTGTGTGTGTGTTTGCTTTGTTTTGGAATAACTGTCTTTCTACCTAGGGAGACAGCAGGTCCATTGTGGTGGTTCTGATGTGCAATTTCTTAGTGGATACCAATATCGGAAAGGTGCCCATGCCTGTGGTGGTCATCTGTGTGTCTGAATCTTTTTCTTCAGTTGTTCTGGTTATCCATAAGTCCTTCTGTGACTCCCCTCCCATTTGCTAGTCATCTGTAAGTCTTCCAGTGTCTTTTTGCCTCCTAAGTTCACAAAGTCACTGGATCATTTGGACTTTGCAACTTGGATTGTCTTAGATCCTCATAAACTAGAATATTAACTCCTTGTCTGATGTGTAGTCCACATCTGTATTGTTTTCTCCTTCTGATTTCTGTGTTTTGGGTTTTATTCAGCTCCTTCCTTTTCAGTGGAGAAGTATTTAGTACTGCAATTTCACTTGTCGGTTTTGATTTCCACGCATCTGCAGTCATAGCAAACATGTCCTGACCTGGCCAATGTCCCGAAGGGTTTCTTCAATTTCCTTCTAAGAGTTTAACATTTGTGTGTTTCTTTAATTGTTTTCAATTGATAATTGTAGCTTGTAAGAGATAGTAGTCTAGCTATACTCTTCCGCATAGTGATAGCAGATTTTCCGAACATTGCTTTTTGAGAAGCAATTCATTCTTCAGTGTGCATTCTTGCCCCCTTTGTCAAAATTCCTATGTTTAGGAATGAGGTTGGAGCTCAGTGACAGAGTCTGTCAAGTACGTGTACAATAGCCAGGTTCAATCCTCAGCACTGCTCATGTGCATGCACATACACACAGAAACACACACACAGACACACATGTCCACACACACTCACACCCACATGTCCACACATGCACAGACACAGACACACACAAGCACAATTATTAATTATAAGCAAGACAAAACTCACACTTCACAAAAACTATGGAACCCATTCATTTTAAGGGGCCAGTGATGTAACCATGCCCTGTCAATAGTGAGGATGGGATATATTAACAATTAGGTCTGCTACCTAGGGGAGCAGGACTTGTGGAGGCCCTGGAACATTCACATACATTCCCTGAAGTCTCTGTCGTATACTTCGGTAGCTCTGATTGCAACTTAATTCCACTTCTAGCAGTGTAATAGGGTTCCCATTGTTTAAATCCATCAAGGACACACTACGGTCTTTTCATAATATTACAAGGAGTCATGGTCTAAACTAGTCAAACATCTCTGCTAAGCCTAGGGATCCATTCAGGGAAGAATTTGTTAGGAAAGCCAGATATTTCTCTATTATCCATGCTTATGTTTATTTTTTGTTACTTTACATTAAATTGAAATGTCTCTTAGACTGTAACATGTACACATAAATGGGGTGATGTGGTGTTGGACAGAATGGATGCTGTACAAATCATGGGTAGTTTAAAGACTTCTCTCTATTGAAGCACTTGCTATCTCTCCGTGATAATGAGTTTAGGAGAACTTCCTTCTAGCTTCTTGAAAGGCACAGTAGATTACTCCTACCTCCAGTCCCTGCTTTACATCACGCCATTCCAGAATTCTGTTACCTGTGGCCATGACCCCTGATTGACCTATGCCCATCCTTCCTTTGGTGCTGTCCCCGCAAACCTCTCATAAATATCACTGTATTCCCAACTGGTGGCCATTAAATTATAGAGATGTAACTGTGTCTCCTGCAGATGGAAAGGCTAGAGTCTAGCCTCGCTGGTGGTAGGAGCTCTCAAAATGAAGCCAGATGCAAAGGAGGGCTGACCTGTTTATACACACAGAGAACCTGAAAGAAGGGGGATGTTGGTGACAAGGTTGAACCCCTGGAATTTCAAGCTACAAGAACAATGGTTGCATCCAGTACCTCTTAGTGTCTAAACCACTTGGGTTGGCTGTACCATTTGATTCCTCAGTAAATTCATGCCACAAGACAATTGTATAGCAAATGACCTGGTAATATGAAACTTTGGTGACCCTGGGCATCCCTCTTGTTGGAAGGCTCCTGCTTGGGTGAGCTAAATTATTTTGCTAATGTAAACATTGACTTGAATGATTATGCATAAACTGCTGGTCTATGTTTTTG